TGAAGCCAATGGCGCGCCGTCCCCTCCCACGCACCGGGCTGCCGCGCCCCCAGGGTGGCCGCCGGGGCGGGCGGGAGGACGAGGTTGGGGGGACTAGGTTCCGGGCTCCCCAGCGGAGGCTTTCCTGGAAAACGCCGCCCGGGGGCGCGCTCACGCCCGGAGAGAAGACGCTTGGGAATCAAAACCCAGGCCCCGCGCCGCCTGGCCTGGATGACTTTCTGGGCAAGTTATGAAGACTGCGCCCTTTTTGGGAGACCATCAACCACCCCACAGGTCGGCAAACCACACTGTCTTAGATATCCTTGAGGTGCTCCCTGGAGCCTAGGCCGGTGTCTACAATGGGAAGGACTGCTTGGCTGGTAGATACCGAGTGTGCAGTAAGTAGCGCAGTTATAATGGTCACTGTCTGCCAGCCCATCAGGACCACGCACTGAGCCCAAGGTGTTATGGGCATCAGCTCATTTGATTCTCACAGCACCTGTGAGGTCCGGGCGTTCAGTCCCATTTCACAGATGGCTGTCATTAATGTTTGATTTCATTTAGCCTTCTGGCTTCCAGCCTAGGCCCAGTCTTCTCTCCCGCTGCCCCCACCCCCTCCCCTTGGTGTGACTTTATTAAATAACATGATCACACACACACACTGTCATGACTAAGATCTTATCTTGGGGCTCCCAGACATGTGGAGCGGGTAGGGATGCTCAGTTGTCAGACTAAAGAGGGGTGAAAGGGGCTTGGGGGCTCTGGGGACTCTTTGGGAGCCTTCCAGCCTAAAGAACCAGGCTCCTATAAGCAACACCCTTCCCCCCAGATTCTGGACTCATTTCAACCCTCGGTGACCAGTCGTGTGCTCACCCCAACTCCCAAGACCCTGCCTGCACCCACCTTCTTAGAAAACAGCCTGCCTCTCTTCATCTTGTCTGATGGTCACAAATGTGCGGGAGGGAGGGAGGGGAGGTGAGGGGGGAGGGCAGAGGAAGGCAAGGTTGATGACATGCTCCATTTCACAAGACAAGTCAACGGGGCAGAGAGAGGTGAGCGGTGGTGCCCCGGGCGTCTAGCTAGCTGGGCATTTTGACTGCAGGTCTGAGTTCTTTCTGCACTAGTTCCTTAAAGGTTAATCACGTGCGCTCTGGAACCAGACTGCCAGGTTCAAATCCAGGCCCAGACTCTTGATGCCTGGCCTTAGGCACACAGAGACAGCAGTAAATGACACAGCTCACAATTACACAGGCAAAGTGTAATTGGAGGGCCGGAGTAGAAGGAAGAGAATATTC